CATATCTGTGTTTGGTTCTGGTCTACAACTCTGAATGTTTGGTTCTGTTCCAGATGTGTGTGTTTGGTTCTGGTCCAGATGTTTGGTTCTGGTCCACCACTGTGTGTGTTTGGTGCTGTTCCAGATGTGTGTGTTTGGTTCTGGTCCAGATGTTTTGTTCTGGTCCACAGGTGTGTGTGTTTGGTTCTGGTCCACAGCTCTGTGTGTTTGGTTATGTTCCAGATGTGGGTTTGTTTCTGGTCCAAATGTGTGTGTTTGGTTCTGGTCCAGATGTGTGTTTGGTTCTGGTCCAGATGTGTGTTTGGTTCTTGTCCACAGCTCTGTGTGTGTTTGGTTCTTGTCCAGATGTTTGGTTCTGGTCCACATCTATGTGTGTTTGGTTCTGGTCCAGGTGGACGCTGCAGTTGGTGGACTGGGTCAGCTCTGAGTCCATCACCTCCATCCTGCACCGCCTGGTGGAGCAGCGGATGGAGCAGCGGTGCCGTGGCGAGTACGAGCGTTCCTTCCTGCTGGACTTCCAGGAGGTAAAACTTCTTCTCCTCCTGCGCTCGTCCTCTTCACCTACTGGTTCTGACCCGGTTTTGTTGGCGCAGTGGCTGGAGCTGGTGCTGGGGTGGCTCAGCAAGGTCTTCTCCAGCGAGGGGGGCGGAGTGTCCGGTCCAGGTGGTTCTGGTGGGCCCGGCGTCCCTGCAGTCCAGTCGGTGTGGCGCTGCCACATGCACCACTTCTTCTACAGGATCTACGTGAGCATGAGGATCGAGGAGCTCTTCAGCATCATCAGAGGTGAGCCTTCAGAACCAGAACCACTTGTTTCCTGCCGCTGTTGATCCAAAGAGTCAGAGGTCAGCGGCTGGAGGCGGAGACTTCTTGAGCTCAGACCCACTAGCTGTGGCGGCCATCTTGAATCACATTAGCTACAGTTTGAGAGCCGAATGTTTCCAGGACTGTTGTGTCCGGAGGTTCTGGGAACTGGAGTTCGTTTGTGTCTCAGTGTTGAAAAGGTTGAAAGTTCTGGTTCTGTGGATCACGTTTTGTTTTTGCTTCTCAGATTTCCCAGAATCCAAAGCTGCTATTGAGGACCTGAAGTTCTGTCTGGAGCGGACCAATCAGCGCCAGCAGCTCCTCACCTCGCTGAAGTCGGCCTTCGAGAGCCGCCTGCTGCACCCGGGTCCGTTTCTGTCCCGCTTCTGCTGCAGTTCTGCTCGTTGACAGAACCTGTGGGTCCGAACCGAGGAGGGACAAATATTTACTTGAACGTTCATTCATTTATTTGTTTATTTATTTATTTATGCCAAAACTACAGAAACATTTAAACAGACGGTTAAAAAAAGTTTTAATATTTAGAAGAGCCGAAGGTTCTGATCCAAGAGCAGAAAACCAACCTGTTTGTTTGTTTGTTTGTTTGTTTTAGGCGTTCATACCTCAGACATCCTCACAGTTTACATCTCAGCCATCAAAGCTCTAAGGGAACTGGACCCGTCCATGGTGGTTCTGCAGGTAGCCTGCCAGCCCATCCGAAAGTACCTCAGGTGAGTCTGGTTCCAACAACCGGACCTTCCAACATTTCAGTCCGTCAACCTCTCAGCTGTTATTTATTTTTCCACATTTGTTTATCTTTATTGTCTTTGTTTACATCAAAGTTCTGTTTTCTTCCCGACCCGTGATGTAAAAAGTTGTGATGGGTCAATTTAATCCCAGATCATCCATCCTTCCATCATCAAATGGCTGTAAAACCTCCATTTAGAACTAGTCTGAAGGAGCGTTGTAATCCAGGGAATACGATTGTGGAATTATCTTTATCACCATAAAAATTAATAAAACAATTTATACGTGTAAAAAGATGATTAAGTTAAAATTGTTGGGAAAGTATGATACCATGTGACGGATATCTAATATTTTTGTTTTCTCTTTGGAGATTGTTCAGTCCTAAATTGTTGTTTGTTTGTAGTTATTTCTGTTTTTTAAATAAGGGGCAGATATAATAATTTTCTTCATTCTGCATCCTTTTCATTCAGTGTTTTTCTTTTAATGATTTTGTTTTGTTTATTTTAAATGAATGAATAAATCATTCATCCATCCATTCACCCATCCATCCTCCATCCATTCATCCTTTTACCCACTTCTTCCTTTTCGGGTCGCAGGGGTCACTGGTGCCCATGTCCGGCCATCACAGTGCAAGAGGTGGGGGACACCCAGGACATGTCTCCAGTCCATCACAGGGACACATAGGGACAATTTAGAGTTACCAGTCAGCCTAACATGCATGTTTTTGGTCTGTGGGAGGAAACCAGAGTACCCGGAGAAAACCCACACAGCACGGAGAGAACATGCAAACTCCACCCAGAAAGGTCCAGGGCGGCCTGCTTGCTGGGAGGCGGCAGTGCTACCAACTGCGCCACCATGCTGCCCTAATCACCAGATCAGAACCTGGAATGAGGATATCAATTAATTCCAGATCAGAACATCGGTTAATCCTAGATCAAAATCTGGAACAACATCAATTAATCTCATATTAGAACCTGTAATAATAACAACATCAATTTATACCAGATTAGAAACTGGAATAATAACATCCCAGATCAGAATCTTGAATAAGAACATCAGTTAATCCCAGATTATAACCTGCAAGAAGAACATCAATTTATACCAGATTAGAAAGTGGAATAAAAATATTAATTAATTCCAGATCAGAACATCAGTTAATCCTAGATCAAAATCTGGAACAACATCAATTAATCTCAGATTAGAACCTGTAATAATAACATCCCAGATCAGAATCTGGAATAAGAACATCAGTTAATCCCAGATTAGAACCTGCAATAAGAACATAAATTAATCCTAGGTTAGAAACTGGAATAAGAACATCAATTAATCCCAGATCAGAACCTGGAATAAAAACATCAGTTAATCCCAGATCAGAACATCAGTTATTTCCAGTATAGAATTTGCAATAAGAACATCCTCTCCCAGATTAGAACCTTTTACAAGACTGTTTGGTAATCCCAGATTAGAACCTGGAATAAGAACATCAGTTAATCCTATATTAGAACATTTTCCAAGACCATTTGGTAATCCCAGTTTGGAACCTGGAACAAGAACATCCTTTAATCCCTGATTAGAACATTTTCTAAGACCATTTTGTAATCCCTGATTAGAACCTGGAACAAGAATGTCATGTAATCCCAGATTAGAACCTGGAATTAGAACGTCAATTAATCCCAGATTAGAACCTTTACCAAGATTTAGTTAATCCCAAATTAGAAATTTAAATACGATTTTTTTTTAATCTGTGTTTTGAGGATGTTTTGAGGCTTAAAGGATGATGCTGCTGGTCTCATCGTCTTGCAGGACTCGAGACGACACAGTCCGGCAGATCGTGGCCGGACTCACTGGAGACGCCGAAGGCTGTGCCGACCTGGCATCCGAGCTGTCCCGGGGAGACCCGGTGACTCTGGAGATGCAAGACAGCGATGACGAAGGCAATGACCCAGAGGACTGGACTCCAGACCCGACGGATGCTGTGCCTGGTCAGTGAACGCAGCTTGTTAGTTCCGATCAGCTGGTCTCAGCTGACTTTAGCTCATTAGTTCCGATCAGCTGGTCGCAGCTGACTTTAGCTCATTAGTTCCGATCAGCTGGTCGCGGCTGACTTTTAGCTCTTTCTGTTTGGCTCAGATAAAACGGGTTTGAAGCGGCGCTCGTCTGACATCATCAGCCTGCTGGTCAGCATCTACGGCAGCAAGGACATCTTCATCGACGAATACCGGGCTGTACTGGCCGACAGGCTGTTGCACCAGCTCAACTACAACACGGCCAAGTATGACCCGACACACGGGCTGGTTCTGACACTATTGGACCTGATGGTTCTGCTCTGTGTTTTCAGGGAGATCCGTAATGTGGAGCTGCTGAAGCTGCGGTTCGGAGAGTCCCACATGCATTTCTGTGAGGTCATGCTGAAGGTGAGCTCCACACATTCATCCACGACCCAGTTCTCATATAGTCCATCTAGAAAGACATCAGCTGTCCTGATCAGACATCACATAGCGTTGACTTCACGGACCGTTGACTTCACGGACCGTTGACGTCCCGGTCAGTTGACGTCCCGGTCAGTTGATGTCCTCGTGTGTTCGTGTCTTTGTGGTGCAGGACATGGCGGACTCCCGCAGGATCAACAGTCACATCCGGGAGGAGGAGTCGAAGCTGAGCGAAGAGGAGCAGCCGCCACTCGCTCTGTCCGCCATCATCCTGTCGTCGGAGTTCTGGCCGACCCTGAAGGAGGAAAAACTGGAGCTTCCTGCAATCGTGGGTCAGGCCATGGAGGCGTACAGCCAGCGCTACGAGAAACTGAAGGTGATGCCAGAGTCAGTTAAATTCAATTCAGTTTATTTATAAAGCGCCAAGTCACAACAGAATCGTCTCCGAGCACTGAACAGAAACATTCATATATAAAAATAATAATTTAACATTATTTATCTGAGGAGCAGACTGCTTTGAGTTTAACTCCATCGCAGAACTCATCTTGAACAAACAGGAAAGCAACAGTGGAAAGAAAAAACTCCATCATGAAGAAGAAACCTTTAGCAGAACCAGGCTCAGGACAAGTGGTCATCTGCTTCGACTAACTGGGTTTGGTAGGAACAGATACACAATGGCAGGTCAAGAATCACATGTTAAGATAGAATTAGTATCAAATGAAAACTATTTAATTTTAACAATTAATTTAAGGAAATGAGCTCAATTTGTCCTCTAGTAGTCTAAGCCTATAGCTGTACAACAAGCCGACCCTAACTTTTTCACCAGGATCTTGCTCAGATATGATCGGGTTTTAATTTTGGGGGATTTCAATATACTGTACATGTTTGTTGCCCTGAAAAGCTGCTGACTCAGGACTTTCTAGATCTGATCCAGTCTCTGAACTTTGTACAGAATGTTGCAGGATCAACTCACCAGCATGGCCACACACACTGGATCTAGTGTTAACCTATGGCTTATCTGTTTCTGATTTAGAAACTGGGGATGCGGTTTTCTCCGACCACAAACCCATTTTTTTCAACACTTCTTTTGTCAATGAGTCCAAACCCCCTCACCCTCCAGCCAGGCCTTGTTGAATATTTAACCCTTCCACTGCTGCACTCTTTTCCTCTGCTTTCACTAAAAACTCTGTCTCAGTCTCTGAATCCTCTGCTTACATCAACACTCGCAAGCTAGTCACTGCACATCAAGAGACCTGTGCTAAGGTGCTAGACCTAGTTGTCCCATTCAGAATCAGGCGACAAAAGTGCACACATCCTTGGTTGAATGAGATCACCCAAGCAGCCAGACATCAATGCAGGAAAGCCGAACGTAAATGGAAGAAGGACAAAGTTTAGTTTTTTTTTTATCATGCTAAAAACGTTACAAAGACTATCGGGCCACCGTTAAATCAGAAAAAAAAAAACCTAATATTTCTCCCAAATCATTGCTTCAAACAGCCACAATCCCCGTGTTCTTTTCAACACCATTAACTCCATTTTAACTGTGCTTCAGTCTGCCAACATGGAGGTCTCTGCAGTTACTTGTGATGACTTTTCCAGTTTCTTTGTTAAAAAGGTTGAGTCAATAATGTCATTGATTCCTCACGTCACAGCTGACCCCTCTGTCCTTGTCCCCTCCACATCAGTCTTTAACCAGTTTGAACCCATTTCCCTCTCAATTCTAAATGGCGTCATTGGTCATATGAAACCCTCAGGTTCCCCTGCTGACCCCATCCCTGCATCGTTTTTTAAACAAGTCCTACCCTCCATTGGACCCTCTGTTCTTGACATTATAAACAGCAGTGTGGCTACAGGTGTGGTTCCTAGTGTTTTTAAACATGCAGTAGTAACTCCTTTAATTAAAAAACCCGGACTTGACCCTTCAACTTGCTCAAACTTCAGACCTATCTCCAAACTTCCCTTTCTTTCTAAGACCCTGGAGAAAATAGTTTTCACTCGATTAAAAGAGTTCTTGAGTGGAAATTCTATTCTTGAGATGTTTCAGTCTGGCTTTAAGAAACTACACAGCACCGAAACAGCCTTAGTTAGGGTCTGCAATGACATTCTTCTGGCAAATGACTCTGGTCAATCTGTGATCCTGGTACTTGGCCTTACAGCTGCATTTGATACTGTGGACCACAGTATCCTTTTATCCCGGCTAGAACGCTGGGTTGGGATTACTGGTGGGTGGAGCGTTAGAATGGTTCCATTCATACCTGAGCGACAGGAGTTTTATGCACCATCGAACCAGTGAAGACCTGATCCAGGAACAGAAACTGTTGCTGGGAACAGACTGGACCTAAAACTGAGACTCCGAAAGACTCTGAGAACGTCTTGAGAATTTGATCAGAACCACTTGAGTAGAACATCTGGAAACATCCGTCTCTCATGATTAAGTAGAAACAATGTTTTGGTGGTTGAGTCAGGATCTAGTGGTACGTTTGTTTTTGTTGGATCTGAGTCTCGACTTTTCTGTGATTTCAGGCCATGAGGACCCTGAGCTGGAAGCCCCACCTGGGTTCCGTCACTCTGGACCTGGAGCTGGAGGACAGAGTCCTCACCAACCTGTCCGTGTCCCCGATCCAGGCAGCCATCATCCTGCACTTCCAGGATCAAAGTACGTCCCGACTTCTTGTCTCAAACGGTTCTTGTTTGGACTCTTAAAGACAGAATCCACTAAACATGAGACGAGTCTCAGACAGGAAGTGGAGACATCCGTCTCATGGTTTTATGTCCAACTTCTCCCAGCTCACAGTCTTGGTGTCACCCATCAGGTTCCTGGACTCTGGAGGAGCTGAGCATACAGCTGGGTGCCCCAAAGGAACTGGTCCACAGGAAATTGGCCCTGTGGCAGCAGCATGGCGTGCTGAAGGAGGAGGCCAGCGGGCGCTACTGTGTCCTGGAGACAGGCTCGTCCCGGGAGAAGCTGGACCGCGGGGTGATGTTGATCGACAGCGACGAGGAGAGGGACTCCAACACCACCACCCAGTCTGAGCAGAGAGAGGAGAAGCTGCAGGTCTGAACATCTTCTGTGGTGTAGATCCTGGATCAGAGCTCTGGATCGGGAGTCCTGGAACAGGAGCCTTGGATCAGTTTTTGTAAGATTTGTCTTCAAAGCCCTTGTCCGTTTGTCCACCGTGTGTCTCTGCAGCTCTTCTGGGCCTACGTCCAGGCCATGCTCACCAACCTGGACAGCATGACCCTGGACAGGATCCACACCATGCTGCGGATGTTCGTGGCCACAGGACCTGTTGTCACAGAGATGGACATCAACGAGCTGGAGGCCTTTCTGCAGAAGAAGGTCCGGGAGCATCAGCTGCTGATGTCCTCGGGCGTCTACAGGCTCCCGAAATCCACCTGATGGAGGACTCTGTGCTGTGTTCAAGTGCAGCAGGAAACTCAAACACTTTCTGTAGGTTTTTCTCACACTCATAAAATATTCTAAAATAAATGTTTCAGTTTTCATTTTCCTTGAGGTGGGAGCAGCTGCTGAGGCATTCAGGGACCAGAATCAAAGTGGGACAGTTTGTGGGAGCAGCTGCTGAGGCGTTCAGGGACCAGAATCAAAGTGGGACAGTTTGATGTTTTGGAGACTGAAATGTTTCTTGCCATTTTAGATCCTGCAGGTTCCTTGAAGTTAAAACTTGTTAAGATTCGGATAGATGGATGCGTCATTGTCCCCAAGGGGAAATTTGTCTTGGACATTGTGTTCTACACAAAACTTCTTCCACAACTAAATACACTACAAACAATAAAATCATGTGATCAGTGATGGGTAGTTACAGCCAGTTATGAATCTTAGTGCACCATGATAGACAGCATCCAACATCTGCAGGGTTCTTGTAGGAGCTTTCATGTAAATAATGTCACCGTAGTCAATGGAGGGAAGGGAAGTCACAGTTACAAGGTGTTTCCTAGCATTCAGAGTTAGACGGGATCTATTTCTGAAAAAGAAACCCAATTTAACTTTCAGATTCTTTATCAAGTTTTCCACGCAGAGCTTAAAAGAGCGATGCGAGATGACCAAGATACCCAAATATTTATAGGAATCGACAAACTCAATAAGGACACCATTTGAGGATAAAATCAGAGGAAGAACTGCTGGGACAGACTTCCTGTTTGAAAAAAAGCATCCCTTTGGTTTTATTGGCATTTAGGACAAGTTTGAGATGGAACAAATCAGACTGGATGATGTCAAAAGATGGATTGCAAAAGCTGGAAAACCTTAACTGTTTTATCTCAACAATAAGCAACTGTCATCATCAGTATAGAAATGTAAGGATGCATCAGGGATGCTCTGACCTACATTACATATGCAAATTGTAAAGAGGGTGTGTCCTAAGACTGAGCCTTGTGGTACACCATTGCTGACTGTTAAATAACTAGAGGAAATACCATTATGTTGAACACCTTGCCTCCGATCTGAAAGACAGAGAATCAACCAATGGTACGTTCTGAAAAAACAATTTCTGAGAGCTTATGACAAAAGATGTCATGATCCACAGTGTCAAAATCTTTAGACAGGTCAAGAAAAGTGCAGCACAATAATCCTTAGCATCCAGTGTTTCAACAACATCATTAAGAACCTTCAGTGAAGCAGTCGTTGTGCTGTGTTGTTTCCTGATACCAGCTTGATGGAGAGGTAAGAAGTTAAATGAGTCCAAATAATTTTTGATTTGAAAGTTTATCAGTTTTTCTAGAACCTTGGCTAAAATGCAGAGTTTAGAGATTGGTCGATAGTTGTTCAGTGAGGTGGGGTCACCTCCCTTCAGCCAAGGTAGAACAAAGGCTGTTTTCCAAGCGTCTGGAATGGCGTTTTGGCTGATGGACAGGTGTTATGCCCCCAGGTCTAGGTTATCGGGGGGTGTAACATAAAATGTGTCCAGAGGGGAAAAAAAAAAGATGGAGTTGATTGATTTTAAAAAAGGGGTTTATTACAAAGAAAAATGTTCCACAGACAAATATTTGTTGACCCAACAAACTTGGACAGACAAAAAAATATACTAAAGTGGGTCAAATGCTGCCTCAACAATTAAATAACCCAACAAGTCAGTCCAGTCCAGACTCAAAACAACCCAAACATAACATTAATAAAAAGGTTCATCAAAAACTTTCCAAGTACAAGTTTCTAAATTTGAAACAACCAGTCAAACTCAAAACCAAATTGCTAAGCAGAGCAAAAAGGGATCAGGAGTAGAAAATACTCTAAAACTGCCCCAAAACAATCCTCAAAAAGATACAACAAAGTGGGGGTCTGCTGCACAAAAACCTCTGCCTAAAGCTACCCCATTGAAGGAATGATTCCAGGAGCCTTTTATAGGGTGCAGGTGGACCTCATCATCTGATTGGTGTGGCAATCTCCCGCTGGTCCAATGGTGTTGCAGTTCTGCAGCCCTGACAGCCAATCAGCTGAGACTACACAGACTAGAGGACAGGGGCTGTAACAGGTTAAAGATGTGGGACACCGGAACTGCGATGATATGAGCGGCCGGCCTTAAGAGATAAGGTGGAAGGTCATCTGGTCCTGCAGATGTTTTAGAGTCTAGACCTTTTAACAGTTTATTTACCTCACTGACTGAGAATTGAGAAAAAGAGCAGGTGTGATTTACTGAAGGGCGTAGCACGGTGGTGCAACTGGTAGAGCTGCCGCCTCTCAGCGAGCAGGTCACTGGTTCAAATCCCGATCCGGGGGCCTTTTTGGGTGGAGTTTGCATGTTCTCTCCATGCATGCATGAGTTTCGTCCGGGTACTCCGGTTTCCTCCCACAGACCAAAAACGTGCATGTTAGGCTGATTGGTAACTCTAAATTGTCCCTAGGTGTGAGTGAGAGAGTGAATGGTTGTTTGTCTCATTTGTGTCCCTGTGATGGACTTGCGACCCGTCCAGGGTGTACCCCGCCCCTCGCACAGTGATTGCCAGATATGGGCAACGGCGACCCCTGTGACCCAAAATGGAAGAAGCGGGTAAAAGATGATGGGATGGATGGAGAGAGATGGTTTTAGAAGTTTGACTCAATGAGACTACCTGTGTAAATAAAGGGTAAATAAAAAAATAAATACATGAACAACGTCATATCACTTGTGAAACCAAAGCTATTTTCCAGGACAATAATGTTTTGTTTATTTTAGAGACGGAAAAAAAAACTTTTTAGGTAGGATCATCATCAGAGCCCTCCATCACCCGAGAGAGATGTTAAACAGCAGGCAGGACAGCGGAGCATGAGGCTTGTCCTCCCAGAGTTTCACATTCCTGTTTCTGTCAAACTATATTACATTTACATACTTAAATCAACAAAAAATGTCCCCCTTCACATATTTATGGTACATTTACACATGCAGTTTATTATTTATTCTTTACAAACAGGACAATGAAAATCATATTGAGTAAAATATACCTGCAGGTCTCAGGAGCATTTCCAACTCCTGTAGTTTGCCCATTTCTGCTGTCTTGATCTTGTGTGTGACAAGGACGTGTCTCAGTGGCTGTCCATTTCTGAGGACACTTTTGATCATGTCCAGAGTTGAAATCCATCTGGTTGGAACATCTTGTATGAGCGATTCTTTCTTTTGTCCATGTCCAGTTTGTTGTTGTTCCAGTTCTGCAGCATTTGCTGGACTTTGTTTAAAATGGCTGACGACTTTTCTGCATTTGGCGAGGACATTGTCAAACACTCTGTCCTGCAGAGACACTGGGACAGAACACTAGAGACAGTGCAGGGGACGTGTTCAAAAGGCAGATGTGCCATCATGATTATCTGTTCTGACTTGATGTGAAATGTTCCACAACATTAATAAAATGTTCCGCGCACGTTTCAGTAAAATATCTCTCCTGTTTTCATTAGTCAGAGCATGTGACCGTAGCTTCCACTGTGCATCAATATAATGTAACTCTGAGGTAGTTATGAATATCCAGAGAGATGTCCAGTATCTCCAGGGAGAGCAACAGTAGGTGCACGTTGTAACATTTTGCAGCTCATTTTCATACAACTGGTGAATAGTACTTGTGATGGTGTGCACTGAGGGAGGCTCATACTGTCATTTGTTGCGGTTCTAAGGACGTCACACAGACCAGCATCTTCATCAATGCTAATAGGCCATCCAGATGTGGCATAGATATCTTGTCTTGCTTTTGATAGTCTATTTTTCTGCCACGCGCTGCAACAGCCTCGTCTGCAGAAGCCTTCCTGCTTGTTATGGTTTATATTTTTAGAGTTGATTATCTTATCTCAACAGCAGACTGGTTTTAAACACGTCATAAAGGTGTTACTTAATAGGACAGATCCTGTTGGCAGGCCTCAGGCTCAAGAAGTCTTTCAAATGAGAGACGAAACGTTTCTTACAATAAAGAAACTGTCCAGATGACATGGCTTTTTTGTGTTTATTTACCTGGATGATTGAGCCTAATTACTTTTTTTTTTAGGCTTAAGACTTTCCTTTTTCATAAATCCTAAAGTTAGGATTGGGTTTCCTGAGATGTCCTTTAGTTCTGCTGCTATTGGCTCAGACTGCTGGAGGACAAACTGACCACATTTCCTTTCTCTGCTGCTGTCTTTACTTGCTCTACTCTACCCGTTTGTAATCATTTCTATCTTAACATGTTTTTGGTTTTTCCTCCTATAGAAAGTACACCTGGACTATAGAAAGTACACATGGACCATAGAAAGTACACCTGGACTATAGAAAGTACACATGGACCATAGAAAGTACACCTGGACTATAGAAAGTACACATGGACCATAGAAAGTACACCTGGACTACAGAAAGTACACCTGGACTACAGAAAGTACACCTGGACAATAGAAAGTACACATGGACCATAGAAAGTACACCTGGACTATAGAAAGTACACATGGACCATAGAAAGTACACCTGGCTGGACCATAGAAAGTACACCTGGCTGGACCATAGAAAGTACACCTGGACCATAGAAAGTACACCTGGACTATAGAAAGTACACCTGGCTGGACCATAGAAAGTACACCTGGACCATAGAAAGTACATTTGGACTATAGAAAGTACATCTGGACCATAGAAAGTATGCCCGGACCATAGAAAGTAAACCTGGACTATAGAAAGTATGCCTGGACTATAGAAAGTACACCTGGACCATAGAAAGTACACATGGACCATAGAAAGTACACCTGGACTATAGAAAGTACACCTGGCTGGACCATAAAAAGTACACCTGGCTGGACCATAAAAAGTACACCTGGACTATAGAAAGTACACCTGGCTGGACCATAGAAAGTACACCTGGACCATAGAAAGTACATCTGGACTATAGAAAGTACATCTGGACCATAGAAAGTATGCCCGGACCATAGAAAGTATGCCCGGACTATAGAAAGTACACCTGGACCATAGAAAGTACACCTGGACCATAGAAAGTATGCCTGGACTATAGAAAGTACACCTGGACCATAGAAAGTACACCTGGACTATAGAAAGTATGCCTGGACTATAGAAAGTACACCTGGACCATAGAAAGTACACCTGGACCATAGAAACTACACCTGGACCATAGAAAGTACACCTGGACTATAGAAAGTACACCTGGACCTGTCATTCTGTCTGTTTCTACTTCCTGTCCTCTCAAACCCAGCTGGTTGAAGCAGATGACCGCTCGTTCCGAGTCTGGTTCTGCTGGAGGTTTCTTCTTGTTAAAGGAAGTTTTTCCTTTCCACTGTCTCCGTTGTGCTCGTGTAACAGGATTAATGTTGTATACGATTCCACTTGTCATTACTTTTCATCTGGGTCTTATATAGGGGAGTGGTGGCGCAGAGGTTAGAGAAGATGGGCCTGTGATCGGAAAGTCGCAGGTTCACCTCCCGATACCGTCAACATCAAAATGTGGGTGGAAAAGGTGAAACACCCACACCTGCCTCCACCCTCATTCACCCCACTCTAGGCCCCTGAGCAAGGCCCTTAACCCCCACCATCTGCTCCCTAAAACAGGTCCCTCTTGAAAATGAGTTCTCCTGAATCAATGAGACTACCTGTATAAATATACGGTAAATAAAATTAAAATAAAGGGTGAAACAGCGCTCCCTCTCGGTGGTTGTGAAAAGTGCAGTGGGCACACTGACCACACTTCCATTCAAAAAGACGGGCGTGAGGTGGGTTCACTAATATTAGCAATATGGTAAAATATGGTGTATTGTTGATCATTGTCTATTTATTATATGAACACTGACAAACTGTAAGATGTACGTAGGTCACTCAGGATAAAAACAATATTTATATTGTACTATCAATTTGACTACTACACACCAGAAAATATCCACTAGCTTGATGCTAATGTACAGTGCTATTCCTCGTAAGGTACTGTACCCACTGTAATAAGCCCCTGATTCTGACAGTGCAGGTTTTGTTTTAGTGCAGATTAAACATTCGTTTCAACGCTCGTCTTCTGTTCATCATTAAACACAACGCGGCGTGAACTATAAGAAGAATAAAAAGGAACTGACAGGTTGATATCATTTGGACCGAGCTGAATTAATAACCGGCCAAGTTCAGCACGGTTACACTTGCTCAGAATGGGAGACTGCGACGAAGTGAAGATTCAACACAATCTGCTGCTTCCTCAGATAAAGAACTTTTACTGATAGTCTTTTATAAAGTATATAAACGTTTCTGTTCAGAACCCTGAGACGACGACGTATGTTGGGACTTAGAGCTACAGAAATAAACTGAAGTGAAATTGAATATAAATAATTTAAGATAAAGAGTTCTATTTTAAAAAGTCTCAGGGATTTTTCAATAATAATAAAAAATGATTTTATTCAGTGCTTAATTTCTTTTAAGAACATTTATGAGTTTTCTGTGTCTTCAGATAGGAAACTTTAAACTAATAGTTTTTATTGGTCAACAGTCCACATGAAAACAATTCCACGCAGCAGGTTTTCATCAAGGGCCTCATTTGCTCTGGCAGATGTTTCCTTCCAGAGGTTTTACACTTGTTCTGTGAAAACAGTGAAGGTAAACAAACATGCTGGAGCTGTTGATTTTATTTTCATAAGTGTTCGCTGAACAGGCATCTCTTTGGGTTCCAGAACCTTAGCGTTTACATTTTTAACAAGTTTTATTAAATTCACCAACAATTACTGACAGATTAAATGATTAAAATAAGAAAACAACCCTGGTAACAATCTGGTAAATCAAACATTTGTTTGTGAGCGTCTCTGAATTGTGTTTAAACTTATCTGGTCAGTTTGTGTCATTCAAAAAACTGAAGAAAAAAAAAACTGAATCAGAAACAATCAGGTTTGATTAAAGAAATGAGTCAAAGCAACAAGAAAACCCTGAGCAGGCAAACTCTTCCTGCAGCTGTGTTTAAAGTTGATTATGAGGCAAAGTTAGTCAGAACCAGGGCTTTAAAGATTCTGGGTTACACTGTGAATAAAATGAAATTTTGTACTCTGAGGGGTCAAGTGTCCCTCAAGTTATCTGAAAGTCTTTTGCAGTTTTTAGGGTCTCAGCAGCATTTCTTCCCTCTCTTCCTGCGGTCTCTGTCTCTCTGGGCGTTGATGTTGACCGTATCGTCCCGTTCTCGTTCCCGAGTAACTCGGTCCTGACTCTGCTTCTTGGCCCGTAGAACCATGCGGGTGAAGGCCATGAACATCTAAACACAGAAATATAAACAATTTCAAATTAGATCAGAACAAAACCAATATACCGTACTTTTTGTTGTATAAGTCGCACCTTTTTGCATAAATTAGCATGCCCAACAACTTATACAGCTAAGCAACATATTTTTGTTTATTTCCCCATATTTATAACCCAATTTTTGGCTGAGATCTGACAATTTCATACATTCTGATATGGAAAATAATAAACACTAACATTTTCATCCGCTAAAAGGCGCTTGAGTAATATGGCAAGCCAAGTGTCTCATTAATAGGTAAAAGTGGATATTAATGAGACACTTGGCTTGCCATACTTAGCCACCTTAGTCTCACTCCGGAACGGCAAGAACAAGATCGGAGCCATCACCATGTATGCAGTGCCAGTCATCAGATACCCAGGTGGTATACCTCTTGAGGGCACGTACCACCGGCAAGAAATCAACAAATCTCAGTGACTAAAGAGGGCTGGACTGAAGGACAGAGACACAGAGGAATGGACTGAAAAACAGAGACACAAAGGAATGGACTGAAGGATAGAGACAAAGAGGGCTGGACTGAAAAACAAAGACACTGAGGAATGGACTGAAAAACAGAGACACAGAGGAATGGACTGAAGGACAGAGACACAGCGGGATGGACTGAAGGACAGAGACAAAGAGGGATGGACTGAAGGACGGAGATGGGATAAATGTCGCACCTCTTCTACATTTATGTTGTCTTTGGCACTCGTCTCGAAGACGGGGACGCCCACCGATTCCCCAAAACGCACAGCATCCTGGGTCTCCACCTTCTTCTTGGCAGGGTCGTCATTTTTGTTTCCCACTGAGAAGAAGAAAATCAAACTATCTGTAGCAGGTTCTGCTGGGACAGTGCAAGAACCAGCAGTGTTCGACTTCGTGAGACAGGTTCCCATCAGTGGAGTGTCTCACCCACCCAAGATCTTGCAGACGCTGTCACAGTTCTCAGAGATCTCGTTGAGCCACCTCTTCACGTTGACGAACGACTCCGGGTTGGTGACATCGTAGACGACGATGACCCCATGTGTGTTCCTGTAGTACCTGCAAGGACAAACACTGATCCAGCTGCAAGGCCATGTCCATCACACCAACATACACATCCACCACACCAAGAGACACATCCACCATGCCAACAGACATGCCCACCACACCAACACAAAAGCTTCCTCACGTGGAGGTGATGGTCCGGAACCGTTCCTGGCCTGCCGTGTCCCAGATCTGCAGCTTGACACGCTCCCCCTGGATGTCTACGGTTCGGATCTTGAAGTCCACGCCGATGGTGGTGATGTAGCTGCCTGCAGGAAAACCATCCATTCACAAAAAATATATAATTAATAAGTCCACAGAGGCAGCAGTCAGTAAGAACCAAAATATCACAAGAAAAAAAAATTATTCCCAGCACAGATCGCCAGGTGAGCGACACAGCCATTGGTGCCGTCGCATCACCTAAGGTGCTGCACCAGGGGAGGGGCAAAGAGGGAGGCTAGCGAAGGCATGAATTTGAGGGGAAGTAGTCCGTGAGCACTGTCCAGAGCCATCCCCCCCACCCCCCAGCCATAGTCCTGATAAGGTGGTGCAATGTTTATCAGCCAGCTCAGTTGAGCTCTGACACAGGTCCATGTCCTTGAGGGGGCGGGAAGCAGAGCGTCTTGTTTCCATAACATCCAGGAGAAATTGAGACAGTCAGCCTTCCAAGGCCAGAGCCAAATTCAGATATCAACATTTGTTTTGGGTCAGGCCGAGCTCTGTTAATTTACGTCAGCCTTTAAAGTCTCGCTACTACATCTCATCTCATGGCAACTTCAAACAGCCAAAACTGTGATTACATACGACGAGTCAGGCTTACACCTTCTCCCAAGATCTATTCCTTCCCACCGTTCGTGAACACTGCCAGAAAGTTCCATAGTCCTGATAAGAAATGGCATGTCTATCAGCCGACTCAGCTCTGATACAGGTTCACTGATAGTTCACACAGTGAGTGTTGCCAAGTATGGCACATTCTTCACACATGCCAAGCAGCTTATCAGCTGCTGACATTTCCAGATTTGTAGATAATCCAAGTAACCACAAATTTCAAAAAGCAGAAATCCTGTTATCATAAATCCAATTATGTACACATCCTCCACGAATTGTATTCTGTCGAGGTAAGAGGGCTCTCCTTTGCCCTGTCTTCTTGTTGAGAAAATTTGATCAATTGCGTTGAGAGACTAGCTGACCAAATCTGTAGTTTACAATTCGAAAGATACGCAAAAAGAGGTTCTGAAAAAGGTTCACAGGACAAAGAGCAGAACCGCGACAGAGCGGAGGAAGAAAAGTCTGCCTTCGCCAAGGGCAAGCAAGAAAAAAAAAGAAAGAAAAGAAAAAAGCTTTTTTCAGAGCTTTCCGGACTTCAGTCTCACTAATATTTCCCACTTCCTGGTCCATTGTTTCTATGACCTCTACTCTTCTTTGCTTTCATTCTCTGAGCTGGTCTGGGAAGCTCAGTCCTCACCTCCTTCTACAGGTGTACAGTGGAGAGCATCCTGCGCTCCAGCATCAGTGTGTGGCATGGAGGCTGCACAGCTGCAGAAAGAAAAGCTTTGCAGAGAGTGGTGAAGGCTGCACAGAAGTCTTTGGAGTCAGTCTTCCCACCATCACAGACATTTACACCTCTAGATGCAGGAAGAGGGCCACCTGCATCATGAAGGACCCCACTCACCCAGCACATACACTTTTTGCCCCGCTCCCCTCAGGAAAGAGGTTAAGGAGCATCAAGTGTAGAACCACTAGACTGAGGAACAGCTTCTACCCTGAGGCTGTTAGACTCATGAATCTCTAACCAGGATAATCACTGTGAAAAATTACATGATGTTGCTGCTGATCCATTTCATGCTGCTGTGTTCATGCGTGCTCATTTGCTCACACAGACTCATGTTCATGCTGCTGTTCGAAGTAATGTTGTTTTTTAATGCCATTAGTGCTTAGTATATTATTTAGCGGATGTTTTTCTTAGTTCATATCTTATATCTTATTACTGTTTTGCTTTTACATTTTATTGTTGGATGCAACAGGGACCCTGTGTACATAATCTCGTTCCACCACATGTACCACATGAGATGCAGATGACAAATCTCCTGCACTTGACTATTCCACCACCAGGTTTCCTTATCATCCATTCTCTGTCCAGATGACACACCAAGTACCTTCTTACTCATCTCTCTAATTACTGGGCTACTACAGCAATAGGGCTGGGCGATATGGACCTAAATTAAAATCTTGATATTTTAAGATAAATGGTGTTATACGATATACAGCTAGATATTTTTTTTCTTTCCATAAAGTAATAACAAAAATATTTCCGAGTCAAAGCTTTGTCCCAATTGTCACACAGGCACCTTTATTAACAAAGCTGTAACTGTACAAAATAAATGTCTAAAAAATAAAATGTATTTTTCCTCCGTAACAAAACCAAACACAGCTGTGCACTTAAAATTTAAACATAACACGTGGGAATAAAATAAGGTTTGATTATAGGTTGTGGGGAAATAACATAATATGAGTTGGTTGATATACTGTTTAATCATGACATACAGTAACTACAATAAATATAAACAGAAAACAATTGTCACAATTTAGTCTGCTGTTTAAGTTATTAAAATAAAATAAATGAAATAAAAAGCAAAAAGCTGAAAAAAAAAAGGTCAGTATAGAAAAAATACTGATAAATAGATAAAATAATCCCCCATGGAGACTGCAACAAAGTGAAGATTCAACATGTCTGCTGCTTCCTTAGATAGAGAACTTTACTAATTGGCTTTTCTATGTATGTGAACGTTCCTGTAAAGTGCCCTGAGACAACTTTGTTGTGATTTGGTGCTATATAAATAAACTGAATTGAATAACAGAGGCAGCACTGGAAAAAGATCAAATTCAGATCATTGCAGCAATGTGCTGCGAGACAGTAAGAAGGCTGAAGAGGAGACCAGAGGAAGGTCATTGTTGGAAGAAGTGCAAAAAAGAATATTGGTTGATGTCATATGCTGTTGCAAGTGTGTGGAAAATACTTGAAAATCAGGGAGTTGAGAGGCCATCACCGTGCGAGGGAAAAGGAGCTTTGATTGAAGTAGCTGGTGCATCGTCAGGGAGATGGAGGTTAGAAGAAAGTCAGGATGAACGCAGCTCAGGGAGAGTCACAGGACAGCAGGTGCAGATGAGGTTGGCAGATCAGGAAGGAATAGAGGAAGCGTTTTGTTAAGGTTGGCAGAAAAAGGTATCAAGGTCAGCAAGGAGAAATTGCAAGTTGCTCGCAAAACGATTGTGTTGGATTACTTTCAGCAGCAGGCTCAAGTTTGTCCCCGGCTCACAGGACCACTATCCTGAACCACCCAAAACCAAAACAGTAAAAGACATGCTGTCATTTTAGGCTCAACGGGGTTTAGCAGGAACTATGTCCCTTATTATACCGGACTCGCACCTTTGCGGAAACTGGTGAATGACAGAGTGATGAGGAATCTATCGGCCACGTTACAGTGGACAAAAACACTGAGGACACTTTCATTATGCTGAAAACTGAATTAGCTAGAGCAGCGGATCTGGCCACACCTGACTATGGTCAAACCTTTTTCCTTGATGCTTCTGGAACAGGACACACTTATTGTGTGTCCTGTTCCAGAAAAAAGGGGGTGAAAGAAGAGTACTGATGTACATTAGCGTTATGCTAAACATGGAGAAAAAATAAAAATAAAAAAAGACACCCACCCTGCACGCAACATGCAGCAGGAGTGGCAAAAATTGTACAAAAAACTGCACACAGTGATGGGGCACCCGCTGACAGTTTTAACTACCCACAGCACAGTTTCCTACGTGAACTCAGAATCACTCACATTAACATCACTGAGACAAAGAAGATTGAGCAAAAAAATTATACGAAACAAAACAAAAAAAAAGAAGTTGTAGAAATGTTTTGTCTCTCATCCGAAAGACTTCTTCAGTCTGAGGTGCTGTATTCAGCTCAGTCTTATAAATAGCACCTTCTCAGAGTGGATCAACCAGTTTGCTGCTGACAACCAAAACCAGCTGCTCACATGATCAAGAAGGACCATCAACCTAACGATGGATCATTAGCACACTGATGGCTGTTTACTGTTCACAGGGGGCTGAGTGATACTAGCAATCACAGCATTGTAAGAGGGGGACAGTTGAACACGGAGGCCTCCACCCCTGTTTAATGATGGACGGTTTATTTTCACAAAGCTGGCCTCCTTTACTCCTCTCTCAAACCATCGTTCCTCTCTGTCCAGGATGTGAACATCTTCATCCATGAAAGAGTGACCGTTTCTACAATTTTTTTGTTTTGTTTGAATGTCCAGAGGACCAGATTGAACTTTTTGGGCTTTGTCTATCTGGATTATTGAGCATGCATCAGGATATTTTACTTGACGTCAAACAGCGAGATGTTCCTTTAAGAACATGATGAGACGCTGCTGCAGGGCAGAGTAGCTATGTTTACATGGACATAAGTAATCGGATCAAACAGCCGTTCGGAATAAAAGCGCGTCATGTAAGCACTCCATTCAGGTTAGCTTTTGTTTATTCGGCGTGATCCGAAATAATTTGTGATCAGAACGAAATGGGTGGTTTACGCCGATTCATAACCCGAACGGTGCGCATGTAAACACTTGATCTGTTCGTTTTTATCCGATGGTGAAAAACTGACCTGACTGCGCATGAGCGACTGTCATTTCCGCCTGGCTAATGCTAATAATATTAGCATGTCGGGGAAGCCAAACTGGTCGGTGAGCGACAACATTTCTACTAGAAACTTTGAAAGAGCTCAAAATGATCTGTATTACCTGTAGCTCAGTCAGGGAGTGCAGTAACGTCTCCACTGTCATTAAAACCTGTCGCGGGTCCATTTTGGGCACTCAGGTTTGTTTACGTTCATCCCGGAAGTAGAACTTCCGCTTTTTTTTTTTATGAGTTTACTACTCTGCACATGTCAGCACTTCTGTTCAGAACAAAGCCCGCTGCATGTAAACGCTCGTCATGAACAGACTGTGCCCATGTAAATGATACATTTGAATTATTTAATCTGAAAACATTTCAATCCGATCAAAAAAAAATTTGCGCATGTAAACATAGCTAGTGTGAAGACAAAACTAGACAGCAGCAGATGAATTAGAAGATCGTGTTTTTGTCTGTAGAGCCTCAGGGAGCTGCAGACGTGTCAGGACAGCCCTGAAGACGAGATGTCTGAACATGATGGACTCACCGGAGAAGGAGCTGTCTGCGAAGCGGAGCAGGAGGCTGCTTTTCCCCACATCTGAGACAACAAGAGACAAAAAACAGTTTCAGTCCAGAAAACCCAGTCGTCCCCTCAGAGATGGACTTCCAGCTCAAACACAGAGAAGACGATAAAGATCTCAATCAACTGGAAGGTTAAACTCACAAAGTTGGAAACAGTAAACCCTGAACCCTGCTCCCACAGAGTCCACCTGAAGAGGACGAGAGACCGTTTGCTCTCCAACTGCGCTCTCAGAAGGTTTTTGTTCTTCTTCAACCAAACTGATTTTTTTGCTGCAGATACAAGTGTTCTGGTTCTGGAACATGACTTGTATCCACATCAACCCGGTTCTGCAACAGTTTCACTGGTTGCCCATAGAAGCTAGAATAAATTTTAAACGCTCGCGCTCAAGTGCATCCATAACCTTGCTCCTCCTTACTCGTGTGATCTGCTTCACATCTCCACTGCTTCCCGTTCCCTCAGATCCTCGTCTGTCACTCATCTTATTGCACCTTCTGCCCACCTCGTCACCATGGGGAACAGAGCCTTCGGGTGCTCTGGAACTCCCTCATGTCATCAGGAACACCGACTCTCTTCCCTCTTTTAAATCACAGCTGAAAGCACGCCTGTTCAAACAAGCATATTCACTTTAACGGTTTTAAGTGTTGTCATATCATGACTTGTTTTATGTAATTGTTTGTTGATTCTGTTTTTATTGTTATTTTTATTCGTTTTTGAAAGGTGCCCTGAAATAAAATGTATTATTATCAATTATCATTATCATCATCATTATAGTAGTCACTCGTTTATCGCGGGTGTTCCATATCCTGCCGCCCTGCGATAAGTGAAAAAGCACGAAGTAGAGATACAGTAGCCCAAGTTCAGTAAACTTTGTCGTGACATGCGCCAGGCTGCAATCACACTCACTCATCACCTGCTACTCCCAATCTCCCTCCTTGTGTAAATAAACTATTTTAATTTAAATACTGTAATGTTTTTATAAAAAAACACATTTAAAAAAAATCAACTGAATGTTATCATTTTGGCATATCTGTGTGTATTAATTAATTTGATATTCTTTAAACACGAGAAAAGAACTCGCGTTCAATTTACATTATTTTGGGGTAAATAGAGACTTGACTTTGTTCTGCAAGAGAGAGGTGGTCCCCAAACAACGAGGTTATTTGCATAATACACGCGTCAAAGAGGTAGGACTAAACCCTACAACTACAAACCCTAAACTAACCCTAACCCCGTGATGCCCACCCACTGCTCCAGCCTAGAAATGGTTCTAGCTAAATTCTACATGAAAAGTTTCTGTTGGTCCTCTCCACTCTGACAAAAACAAAGATTAAGAAGATGTACAGTAAATATGAGAAGCTAAAAGAAGCATCGTTACTAACTGGAGTCTCCGATGATGAGCAGCTTAAACAGATGATGGTAGTCTTTCCCCGCCATCAGAACGTCCTTTGATAGAACTCCACACACTTAGACCGGGTTCACAGGAGGAGTTGTTCCTGGTCCAGGTTGACCTCCTCGCACTTAGACCAGTTTCACAGGAGGCGTTCCTGGTCCACGGTGACCTCAACAGACTAGATTCATAGGAGGTGTTCCTGGTTCACGGACCTCCTCACATTTAGACCTGGCTCACAGGAGGACGTGTTCCTGGTCCACGTTGACCTCCTCACACTTAGACCGGGTTCACAAGAGGAGGAGTTCCTGGTCCACTTTGACCTCCACACACTTAGACAAGGTTCACAGGAGATGTTCCTGGTCCACTTTGACCTCCACACACTTAGACAAGGTTCACAGGAGGAGATGTTCCTGGTCCACTTTGACCTCCACACACTTAGACAAGGTTCACAGGAGGAGATGTTCCTGGTGCACATTGACCTCCACACACTTAAACGAGGTTCACAGGATGAGGTGTTCCTGGTCCACGTTGACCTCAACACACCTAGAAGAGGTTGACAGGAAGTGGCGTTCCTGGTCCATGTTGACCTTGACCTCCTCAAACTTAGACCAGGCTCACAGGAGGAAGGTGTTCCTGGTCCACGTTGTGATCAGAATTTCTGGCTCACAGCAGTTCTCTACAGAACACGGATCTCCTTATAGAACAGAACATTTCAGACGAACCAGTTTCACATCATCTATTTGAAGCTGCAGCTCTAAAGAGAACTGGCAGACCTAGCACTTGGTTTACGAGTCAGGTTCCAGAACCACGACTGGCCACGTTTCCACCTTGGTTCCAGTTCCACCGTCCTGTGGGGGATCTTCAGCCCTGCATGACTTCAATCCACACAAAGCGCCAGAGAATTGTCTCCAACTTTTCTTCTTGCTGTGCCTTCAATCAATCTTTTATTTGTCTTCTCCCGTGTGGAGTGTAGATGAACAGTTCCCAACTTGTTGATCTGAAGAACACTCACTTCGTCTAACTCAGGAACACTGGAAAGACAGGAAGACAAACAGATAACATCCATTATGCCCTTTTTCCATAGTACCTTTAGTAGCAGTACAGCACAGTTCAACTCGACTCAGTACACATTATGTTTCTATAGCCCCTTTCAGTACAGATTCCAGAGGGCAGGGTTCAAATTGACATCACTTGCCTTACCAGCTGGTGGTGGTAAGACCCTTGTAGTGAACTAAGCCTCAGATCAAAGTCCTGGCCTTGAGGGCCTTCCTGGGACAAGAACTGTATTTCATTGATTTGAGTCCAGAAACACAAGATTAAGTTCATCCAGAGACTAAGTGTCCTGCACTGATCAATTGAAAGAACACTCTTTTTTATTATCATTACTATTTTACAAATGTTTGATAATCAAAGTGTGTTTAGTTCAAACCATTTTTAAATGTTGAAGTGAACTAATCATTTTTAATCAACTGTGAAACAGTATTAGTGATTTTTAATCCTCATTCAAAGTAGAAATCAAATTGGAATGTGTTACGGAGTAATTCATGCATTTTCTGATCTTCTGTCTGAAATGAGCAAATCGTGAAGTTGGTCAAAGGTCGAAAACAAGTTGTTGGAACGAACTGTCATGTTTTTAAATCCTCTCAGACGTAATATAGAGAAGCTGGCACCTGTTTTCACCCAACTCGTCCAAACATTTCTCTCGTCTGTCTCTAAAACATTTTCAATCTGTTCCAAAACATTTTCTGTTTTTCTGACTTCTAGTGACCTCTTACGTCACAAAAACACACCCCTGTCTGGTCGATTTGACCAATCAGGAACCTCCCAAATGAACCGGAAATAGAACTCTTTAAATGTCGGCACTTCCTAGTTCAAACCAGTCGTTTGCAGAGAGCAGCTCCAGTCGAGCTCGAGTCGTGTTGGAGGAGAGTGCAGAACGCTGGAGAGAACAGGAGTTCCAGACATGAGCCGGAGTTCTTCCGAGTCTTGTGGGAATTATGCAATCTTCCACATCTGAGTGGAACTCTGACTGACTTACTCCTCTTGTGAGTCCACCGGGAGGTGAACTGTTGTTGATGAAGTCCCGCCACCACTCCGGACGGTTCTCTGCCATCCTACGGAGACGCTGGACCGGTAGCGTTAACTGGAACTCCGTATCCGCTGATTCATCGTCAGAGAGGTAATGAGTCGAGTTTACTACCGAGCGTACCGAGGAAAGCTGGGTTCGAATGGAGGGTGCCGTTCTGTTCAACACTTTCCCTCACATACCATCTCCCTCCCTCTAAACTTCATCTTTCCATCTTTAAACTCTTCTATCTGCTAGAAATTATTCCAGATATTTTCAGAAATGTCTGTTGTGAAGCAACGGAAAATCATGGCCGGATGGTTTTCCTGTTTGTAAAGCTGACTAATAAGCTGTTGTTATTTTCAATTTTGCCAAATTAATGTAAATGTTTGATGTTAAACTTTAATTCTGTAAATAAATGACCACATTCATTTGATGGGTCAAAGAAAATTAACGTCTCACGTTACATTTAATTAAATTCAATGCACGATATTATTCAGTCCAGAAAAATGAATGAATCTGTTTAATTTATGAATATATCACAGAATATGTTCATCTACACCCTGAAACGGGCTTCAGTACAGGGCCATTAAACACACCAGCCGAGTCCTTAAACACACCAGCCGAGTCCTTAAA